ACCTCGGTTACATAATCACCCGAGGTCCACACTCGCTTACACTCTCTATTTCAGGGCGAACCTCGTGCCCATTTCCTACTTTCAATAGATAACCGTTCTCTACATTTAACGTCGATGCCCCTATTTGTGACTATACGACAGAAAATAATACGTTTGATCGGGAGTAGCATGTATAGTAATTTCATGCGTGCTGATGATCTAAGCAACCCGTTTCTTGTCGTCTTGTTCCGACACCGGCTAGGAACCGATAATGCGGCCGACGCGGCCGCCTGCGATGACTGAGTTTGCGACAGGCCCAGAGCCTCTGGGATGTAGCAAGGAAGATTGAAACCAAACCTTCCATTGAAACAGACATAGTCTAATTGAAAGATCCTTCCACCTGACATATCTAAAAGAGAGACCATTTATGAACTGAATGGGGCGAGAGTCTGGAGTTCCCAGCTGGGTATTCCAACGCGGGCAATGCGGCCGCATGCCGCCTGGCACGTTGACTCAGTAGCGAGTGGAGGGAGGCGCAATGAGGCGACGCGGGGATATGGTAATAAGATGCATGCTTAGCGAAATCGACGGCGGATGAATAGGAAATTCTGGACTTACGAACATTAATTCCGAGAGAGGCCATGTTGCCTGCGCGCTTGTGGCTTTTTTGTATGTCTGAGAATCAAGTATAAAGTGTCAGTTCGGTCGATTCGAGATTACCTGGTAGGACTTGAGAACACCTCACACCTCATCACACATTCATCTGCGTACACTTTAAATCTTCGGCAAGCGGCTGACCAGTCTCCCATAGTTTCAACATGTCTTATAAATGCGCCACTTCCCATATTTCTCCTGAAGGTCCTGGGGATGCTCGTCCTACAGCCCTTCAAATCATCAAAGAGGAGGGCGTCGAAGACAAGCTCTCTGACAAGGTCGTCCTCATCACTGGCTGTTCCTCCGGCCTGGGAGTTGAGACGGCGCGTGCGCTGTTGGTGACAGGTGCAACCTTGTACCTGGCGGTTCGCAATCCTGACAAGGCGAAAGCTGCCTTGGGCGACATGTCCCAGAACGACCGAGTTCATCTCTTGACGCTTGACTTGAACGATCTTGCGAGCGTCAGGGCTTGCGCCGCAGACTTCGCGACAAAGAGCAAGACCTTGAACATCCTCATCAACAACGCGGGTGTCATGGCAACACCCGAGGGCAAGACTGCCGATGGGTTCGAGACCCAGTTTGGCACCAACTATGTCGCCCACTTCCTCTTCTTCCAACTTCTTAAACCTGTTCTTCTTGCTTCCTCAACCCCAGACGTTCCTTCACGGCTAGTCAACGTCTCGTCAAGCCTGCATAGAGCCTGCGAGGTCCAGTTTGACAATTTCAATTGGATTGGAAAGTACGACCCGTGGAAGGCTTATGGCCAGAGCAAGACTGCTCTCGTATGGATGGCCAACGAGGTGGAACGCCGATATGGATCTCAAGGCCTCCATGCCTTCAGTCTCCACCCAGGGGGCATCTTGAGCGGTCTTCAACAGCATGTCCCTGACGAACTGAAGGCGGCATGGGGGAAGAATGAGGCCCTTGCTAAGCATTGGAAGAGTGCTGAGCAGGGAGCAGCGACTACTGTATGGGCGGCGGTTAGCAAGGACTTGGAGGGCCAGGGTGGGAAGTATCTGGAGGACTGCCAAATTATTGGTGCTTGGGACCCCGCGACTGGCGATGTTGGCCCAGGATACGCTACGTGGGCGTACGACCAGGAGAAAGCTGAGAAGCTGTGGTCGTTGGGCCTCCAGCTTGCAGGGCTACCAGATGCCGAGTAAGCCCATCCTTCGGACTGCTTGGAGATGCTCTAAATAAGGTAGCACGGGCTTTCTGATAGAAACATGAGATCCCAAACAATACTTCAATAACTATATTGTTGCATGCAGGATCAAGTACGCAGGCTAAGAATGCAAGAGCATGACTTAATGTTGTGATTAACAAAGCTATTCATCCTTTCAAAAATTCCCATCTCAAGCCGTGCTATTAATACTTTGAGTGACCAACTATTTGGTGAGAACTCCCACAACATGAGGGATCACGTCGCTGCTTGACTCATCCGGCGGTTGGGCCAAGTCCACCTCGCTCCATGAGCCAACTTGCCGCAATGTCTGCCCAGTGGCTCGGCACAATTGACAAGAACCCATCATGTGCTCCCAAAAGATGTTTGTGAATTCTAAAAAGAAATGTCAGTTTGATGCATACCCGAAGGTATAGAGAGAGGGTTTCTCACGTTGAAAAAGTGGGATGAGTAGCCCTTGCTCCGCCTTGACATGCTCAAAGACGTACCACCGGCCGCCCTTCTTCAAGTAGTTGTAAAGCAGCCGTATGTTCTTCTCCGGCTCCGGAATGCTGCAGAGGCACTGGACAGTCATGATGCAGTCGACGCTACCTGGTCCGATCCGTCCGCCCCAAGCCGACTCATTCTGCAGATCCTCAATGCCCACCGGCACAACCTGGTAGGTCCCTTTCAAGCCGACCTCTTCGACACGTCGCTTCAGTGATGCAGCGGACACCGGGTTCGGCTCGACGCCGTAGATCTTGGTCGGAGCTGCACGGGACTCGGCCTTGGCGGACCGGACAATGGTAGCGAGCGACTCGGTCCACATCCCACTGCCGGCTCCGATTTCGAGGACAACACCTTCGATAGGCTTGCTGACGCCTCTTTCGGATACCCGGCCGTTCCGAATTCGACCCTCAAGGAGCGGTAAGACTTTATCCTCTGCGCTAGCTTTGGCTTTGGGGCCCATGAACTTCCAGAACTCGCCGAACCAGGCCTCTTTGAATGCAGACCAAGACGATAGGGTCTTGACGTCACCGACGATGACGAGTTTGAAGATGGTGAGCCATAGGTAGATCAAGGAGATGGTCATGAAAAACCATGGTAGAATGATTTTTACCAACATTGTGATCATGTGAGGGGGTTTGATTGGTAGCAGAGACGTGGTTAGTCGCAATGGTATCACCGTGATGCTTTTGATGCTTTAATACAACAATAATTCGGAAACTTTACGGGATGTTTCCGTTGTCTTGGTCAAAGGCGCTGGAGCACGGATATTTTGGCGCCATAGGATGGCAACAGAATGCAACGGAGACAAAAGGTTTGCCCCTCAGTTTCAAACCCCGCGTCGTCCAAGGTGGATCGATCATCTCCAAGACGTAACGTGGGGCTAGGAAACTTGCTCGCTTCAACCGAGAGAGTGTGAGTGCTAGAGTGATAGGAGAGACAGGGTTGGGCTAAGTAGGTAAGAATGCCTCTCTATCGGAGCAAATGTAGAGTTCAAGACACGTTTAGAGACACGCAATTAGATAAGGTAATCACTAGTGCTAGACTTTGTTTCAAAGGCCAAAAGACCCGAGATGAGATTTTCCATGTACAGTCTAATCATCGTCTATATTACAAATGGGATTCTTACAGGCGGACAAAACTTTTCAGTGATCCAGGTTGCAGTTGAAAGCCAGCCGAAGCATTTAGAGCTTCTTCACAGGCTTGGCGGCAGGCTCCTTGGAGATGCGCTTGGCAGTCTCCTGCTCGTCGCGCTCGTGCAGCTCAGGCTTGGAGTCCAGGGGGCGGTCCAGGCCGAGGCGGTGATAGGTGCTGTAGGAAGCGATGCCGCCCTGGGGGTCGGCCTCGGTGACGAGCTCCTTGCGGCGAGTGTCGACCAGGAGGCGAATGAGGTCGGGGCGCATGTAGTGGCCGGCGAAATCGGCGAGGACCTTGGTGAGGTGGGTCTCGTTGAGGTCAATGTCGACAAACATGAGACCGTCAAAGTCCTTGTCGGGCTTGGGGACAGCCAGGCTGCCGTCGGGCTTGTAGATGCGGGCGTGGCCGTTGTAGTCGGAGGGATCGGTCTCGGGCTCGACGCCCTCGGGGGTGTTCTTCTTGAGGCCCTCGACGGAAAGGCGCTGGAAGGGGGCGAGCACCCAGGTGCCGGTCTCGATGGCGTAGGCCGGGGTGACGAGCTCGGAGGCGGTGTCGGCGTAGTTGGTGGCCGGGTCGGGGGAGACCTGGCGCTGGACGCCGGGGTAGATGGGCCATCCGGCGACGTGGACTTGCTCGCCTTGAGAGACGTTGAGAGACTTGAGGAAGGGGTTCATGTTCTCCCAGCAGTTGAGCTGGCCAACGCGGCCAATCTCGGTCTCAGAGACAGACATGAAGGTGTCGCCGGAGCCATCACCGTAGACGAGCTTCTCAACGTGGGTGGGCTTGATCTTGCGGCGGTGGTTGATGATGGCGCCGGTAGGGTCGATGAAGACCTGAGCGAGATAGAGGGTGGCGTGGTCGAGCTCGGCAAAGCCCATGGAGACGAAGATCTGGTTGTCGCGGGCGGCGCGGCGGATGCGGCGCATCTCCTCAGAGTCGACGCGGAGGGAGTTCTCGCGGTACTTCTTGAGCATGGGGAGGGACTGGAGGTAGGTGACCTTCCACATCCAGTAGGGGTAACCGGGGATCCCTGTAAGAGTGTTAGCATGTCGAAGGAGTTTTGAGAGAGGAAAAGTAAGTCACTTACAAACTTCGGGGAAGGCAACGAGCTTGCAGCCGGCCTGGCCAGCCTCGTTGATGAAGTTGATGGTCTTCTGAACGCCACCCTCAAGGTCGAACCACTAGGAAAGTCAGTCATATGTGGATAGAAAGGAAGATGCTGGTGATGCTTACACCGGGCTCGGAGGTGACGGCGGCGGCCTTGTACTTAGTGATAGGCATGTTGGCGGTTTATTGGTATCGAAGAGATTCGAAGTGAGCTGAGTCGATAGTTGTATGAGACTAGGAGTCTTGATGATTGATGATCTTGTGTGAATGTGATGATCTGGAATGAGAAAAGAGATGAACCAAGTGGTGATGCTGAAGCCTTTTTATGGTTTCTGCTTCATCTAGAAACTGACTTTGATGAAATGGATTGACCAATTCCTCGCCGTCGGGCTTTGTAAACCATCTCACACACTGCATTTGATACCTTGTAGTCCTGAGTTCATCAACATAGGTTGCTGTAAGTTGCCCGCTTACTTTACAAACGCCGTCTGTGGTGGTAATTGGTGATGCGACCCGCGCATTCGGGTCCGAGTTGAGCAAGTTTGTGTTGCACATTTCATTTCCATAGGCCGTCAAGCCTTTCGTGGCGTGACTGATGTTCGAGAAGTTCCGAGCTGACGAACGGTAAACAAGCGGACAGGCTGTGACACGACTCAAGCACTGCGGATACCAACATCACTAGGTACTCACAGGTGGTATGTAGCAAAGACTCAAAAGACGTGCGTTAGGCAGTTCCCTTGGTCCCTAATTCCGAAGCATGCGAACTTTGTCCGGGTGTCACGGGAAAGCTGGGCAAAAGCCGCGCTGCAGAATGGCATGATCCCTCTGACGTAAACAACACTCCGACTGCCGTTTTCCTCCGGGTCGATCAGGCGAGATCTTGTGGGTGCTCTTAATTTAGTTCCCGTCTTCCCGGCAGCGGCGCGGTTCCCAACGTGCAGCAGGCCGGGGGCCATCGCCGTTTGTGGATCTCCGGGATCTGGAGATCTGCGTGCGTTCAAACCCCGCCAGATCCAAACGCCTACATCGTCTGATGTTCGGCGACGCTTCGATCCCGATATTTCTATGGAGAATCCTGGATGTCAGTCACGGGAGAGAAGAAATTTGCTGTATACTATGTGGAATTTGTGCCTATCCACTACCGATCTGACAATGCTGTCTCTGCTGTGCCGATGGGCGGGTGTATGTCAAGCAACGAAACGAATGCTCGCGGAACACACATCTTCCGCCACTCATGTATCGTTCCTTGTCACCAAAGCCTCTCCTAACTGTTCTCAAACCAAAGCATTCCTTTGTAGGCCCTAACGCCTCATCTTATACTCAAACATGGTCTTCACCCAGTGCTGCCTCATTCCCCGTCTCCAACCCTAGTGCTTCGTCCCTTGCTCTGCGTTCTGTCCGCTTCTGCATCACTTCTTCTTGAGGAGATAGTCGCGCTTCAGGAGGGTTTTCATGACAACCTTGGAGCTAGAAGGCTGTTCCTCGTAGGTCGGGTTCGGGTTGCCGAGCTTGTCCCAGAGGCTGGGGAGGCCGGCAGCACCCCACTTGTCGCGGAGATCATCGTAAAACTCCTTGTTGTAAATTCGCCAGAATTCCTCTTCCGTGTAGTAGTTGTTGCCGTAGACCACCTTGGTACCGCCGAGATCGCGAGTCGCCTGCTCAATCATCTTGTTGTCCCGGACGAATCGCGCAAAGGCCTCGGGGTCGTCGCGACCTGGAATGTCATCAGGCCCGCGGATGGTCTTGGGACCCCACAATCGTACATTGACATTCATATTGTGGTAACGTTGACGGTTACGGTTGCCAGGAACGACTCTCACAGGGCAGATCCAGAGAGGATAAATCCCCAGGTTGTCGTTGACCCAGTCGAGGAAGGCCGCAGCGGTGTTTCCCGGCAGCGTAATATCTTGAAAGAACATTATACGGTTCTGTCTGCTGTGATGAATACCAGCGAACAAGCACTCGGCCTTTACAGTGGGATTGAGCAGAAAGCGTGTAAGACCGTTGAAGGTAGCGGGATTCTGACCGTGTATTCCCATCCAGAAAGAGGCTCTGTTGTACCGGAAGAGATAATCCTTGATCGGTACAAGGTCAGTGACGATGCCTCTCTTGTCAACTGAGCGAGATTTTGAAAGCGTGCAGAGCATGCAGTTGGTGTCTCTGACGTGAGGCACAGACTCGTGCACATGTAGAGCGAACCACTGATCATGAGCTCGGCTAAAGCGAACCACGGGCATGTCTTGCTTCTTCTCATCCGTCATGATGCCAGGAATGATGGCGCCATCGTTTGGGCCGAACATCATACCATCGACGAAATCGGCGGGCGAGGTGTCGGCGGTGTAGGACTGGATGGTGTTTAAAGCTTGGGCAGCGGAGTGAACTGGGAGATAGTTGAGTTCGACATATCGGCGAGCTGGAACAAGCTTGACTTCGATGATTGTGCAGATGCCGAGCGTACCACAAGAGCCAGCGAGACCACTAAAGAGGTCCGAGTTCTCGACGGGTGAGGCGGTGACGATGTTGCCGTTTCCAAGGATGACCTCGAGAGAAGCGACAGACTTTTCGAAGTGACCGTAGCGGAACGAGGAACTCTCGAGCGCCGTGCCGGAAAATGCGCCGCCCACGGTGATGCCAGGGAACTCGGGGACGACCGCGGGGATGAGACCGTGCTTGAGGGTGGCGGTAACGAGGCTTCCCATTGAGACGTTGGGTTCGACCGCGGCGCGCCGCCGTCGATGGTCAACAGTGATGACATGGTTCAAGCCAGTGATGTCAATGATCTCATCCGCCTGTCGAGTGCTGGGCCGAAAGCTGTTGGTGGTCTTGTGGTAAACGCGATATTTGATTCCATCGCGAGCGAATCGTCTGGCTTTGGCGGCGATGATGCTGACGCGCCGGCGATGCTTGATCAAGCGATACTCTGTCTCGATGGATTCGGTCATTCTTCCATGACCTAGACGTGGAGCGATTGAAGAATGATGATGAGAGGTCCGGCGAATTACTTGAAGCTTCCGAGGGTGAAACAATGTTGTGGTGGGAATTGGCTGTTGGTGAGGTGGGAAGTCTCAAGGAAAATTCCTCGACTGGAAAAAATAAAAAGTTGGAAGGAGGTAAAGGCAATGGTGAAAATTTATTTAACTTGATCAATCACAGCGGGGTGAGGGTACTGAGATGAAGTAGGCCGGAAGGATGAGGAACATCTTGGAAGACCAGTTCCGTGCCATGAGCCCTGAGCTTTCTGAGGGCATCCTTGGCCCGGTAGTGAGAAAATGCATGATACTCCTTGCCCGGCCATATCCTGTGTGTGGGCGTGACTTAGAATGGCGAGTGCAGGGGATGACTGTGCCTTCATTGTTTCTCTTTGGCAGTATAAAGACGTAAAAT